GGGGAGTGGGGTGGGTGGTGGCTCAGTTTCAAATTCACTGTTCATAATCAAAAAGTACAAAGTAGCATTTCAGGACATAGTAGCTATAAGCCCTGCCAAGGAAATTGTTGACAAAAATGGAGTGGGCATGAGGAGTGATTTGCATAGATTCCATGTCTAGTTGTGTTTCCTTCATTTGGACTGGATGAGATTTTTTTCCTTTGTGATTTTCCTATTTACAAATCAATTGATCTATAACCAAGGCAAGTGAAAACCACTTATAGACTGGGAGATGGTACTAGATTTTAGTATCAATGATAATACTATAGGACTATGTGACAATTAATAAACTGTTTCTGAATCTTAATTTCACCAACTATATGATGCAAAAATTGAACATTGTTGAGTGTCAACCAGGTGGGAGGGGTGCTGGGAGGCAGGCAGACACTCTTTCCCTGGGCACTCTCTCTTCCTCATGGTCTCACCTATTTCTTAATCACACCGTTCATCTTCCCACTGCCTCCACTACTGCTATTTTTGTCCCCACCTCTAGACTCAGATGCTCTTTTTGCACTAACATGAACAAGACCACAGGTGATTCCCACAGAGGCTAGTGGTGTAAAAAGACTGATTAATGCATTCACCCTACAAACATTATTCCCAAAGATACTTCTCTAAATTAAAAACAAACAAACAAACAAAAACTACCCTTATGATTAAAACATATTTATGAAGATACAAACTTATAAATATATTACTATATATGAAATTTGCTTTTTAAATTATTGATCAGGAATACAATCTCTAAAGATAACAATTTCTAAAGAGATCTGGCAAGATGGCAACAAAGTGATGATGTCAGCCTTTTCTCCTCTACATATTCAAAAGCATATTGCAATTAAAGAAAGGCAGTAAACCATAAAAGATAAATAAATAAATGACTATAGCATGCATGGAGAGCAACTACACAATGGAAAGTGATAGGGAAAATTTAGTTTTGCTAGGTTAGAGTGACATTGGGGTAGAATAACCCACACGATGGAGAGATGACTGCTACATGGAAACTTCCTATTGTCAACTCCAGACACACCCCCTTATTAGGGTCTTTACAATGTGGATACTGCTTTGGAGAAAGGGCTACACAGAGTCAGAATACAAAATGGAGGGTGCACTACTGGAGAACTGTAGGAATAGGGGTGCAGAGTGGTGATTATTGACTTGAGCTTATGGCTTTCAAACTAGAACAGTTGGAACATGAGCTGATAGGAAGAAGCAGGTCAGACCACCTGTTTTTCCTCAGAGTGCAGGCTACTG